CCGGCCCAGCCCCAGCCCTGTCCCCTACCCCCCCCCCTCTGGCCAGTCCCAGCCCTGTTCCCTATCCCCCACCCTCTGGCCAGTCCCAGCCCTGTCCCCTATCCCCCACACTCTGGCCAGTCCCAGCCCTGTCTCCTACCCCCCACACTGGCCAGTCCCAGCCCTGTCCCCTACCTCCCCCACTGACCAGTCCCAGCCCTGTCTCCTACCCCTGCCCCCTGACCAGTCCCAGCCCTGTCTCCTATCCTACTGGGCCACAGTCCCCAGAAAGGCCAAAGGCATTGCAGGACGTACCAAGGGGCTCTGCTGAGAGAGGCAGGTCAGGACTGGAGGTCACAGTCAGACGTATAGAAGGTCTTGGAACACTGGCAGCCTGGGTGACAACGGGTCTTGAGTATTAGGAACAAGACAGAGCTCATTCTACAGCCACAGTTGTCCTTTAAAGACCACCTCTCCAGCCCCTGTCCCCCCGTGCTGTGAGCCCCCACAAGTCCCTTGTGACCACTTAGTGCCCTGTCTCCCCTCCAGCCACAGTTTTTGGCTACAAACTGTCATGGTATACATTGGTAATAAAAGCCTTCCCCGACCCTGTCTGCTATGATCGGCCGGAAGCGGGAGGAGACAGTGATGAGATATATTGTGTCCAGGGAGGGCAGGGGTAGTTGGGGGTGATGAGGCCTCTTCCAAGGCGAAACATCACAAGTCTGTGGTGTCTAGACCAGCGTTGACGAAGGACAGCTTCTGCTGTGGACTACCGGTGTCCCCCTGCCTTCCTGACAGCACCACGCTCAGCGGTTCCGGGTCTGCATCTGGCTCCTGTGGACTATGCCGCTGCTCCTGGGGGAGAGAGAGCCAAGTGAAGGGCAGGGCGAGATGTGGTACTCTGGGCCCACGAGCAGAAGCCCCTGCTGTGTCCCACAGGTGGCCGTGGCCAGTGGTGGTGCAGGTGCGCTGAGGTGAGGGGGTGGCCCCAAAAGACACAGCAGCACTTGGGGTTCCTCCCAGTCCTGAGTAATGCAGGGTCCTGACCCTGGCCTGCTGACTGCCCCCCACAGCAGGCCGGGCTGGCGAGGCCTGTCCATCACTGGAAATGCCCAAGGAAACCCCTGGGGCTTCTGTCTCTTGTCACAGACATGGAGACAGGCCCAGAGGGCTCGCCTGGCCAGAAGGGACAGAGGAGGATTTAGACCACGAGTCTTGCTGCCCCTGAAGCCTGTCCATGGTTGAGGGTCCCTGCCACTCGGAGGGAGGGACACGTCACACCTGCCACCTATGTGCAGTTCACCACAGCATGCACTGGCTCACTCGTCCCGTTGCCCTTCCTCCTCATCCCCACGTGACATGCCGTGTTCACACACACCCTCCTGTGGGACCTAGCAACTTCCCTGCCGAGACACCCACAGGGCTAGAGCCCCAGCCACCATCGCTGTCCCCAGGGCCCCACAAGAACTTCTTCCAGACTGAGGCTGTTCCAGTCCCTGGTAAACAGTGGAACCTCTGCAAGGTCACAGCGGGCTGAGCATTCCACCGAGCTCTGCAGAGCCTGAGCAGGGAGCTGCTGCCTCTGCACTGCCCAGGGTAATGGGCCTGGTCCTGGGGACCAGCGACCTGGGTTCCGTCCCCTCCTTCCTGCAGGGTGCCCAACCTTGAGCAAGGCAGCTGTGTACTCTGGGCTGCCTTCCTGCTGGTTACTGGCAAGGTCAGGCCGCATGGTATCTCAGGGCACTCACACGTCCCACACCAACACCGCCGGGACACGGACAAGCCACAGCACCAGAGCAGCCGTGCGAAAGGAGCCACCTGAGTCCCACACCCGGCCAAGGGAGCAGAGCGGGCAGGCTCCTGAGAGGGCCTCATGGTCTCCCAGACCAGCCGGAGACCCCCAGCACCCATTCCCTGCGTAGGATAGGGGGCTGAGCCTCAAACTGCTTCTCCGAAATGTAATAACCCCAGGCCGGCCAGGACTGTCTTAGTTCTCTGGCTTTGAAGGCTCTCTATGGCCACTCCCGCTTCCTCTCCATACTCTTCCCTCTACAACCCACAAATCCACCCCCACCTTGAGGGCCCCTGACTCCATCCTTCTGTGAGGGTCAGCGTTGACCTTCTCCAGAGGCCAAGAGCTCCAGCAGGCAGGACTGTTCCTCTCTGCCTCAGTTTCCCCAGACATGTACATTGGAGTATTTGCATGACACCATTGTCAGAGGTGAGCCATCCACCCAGGGGCCCCCAGAACTGCTTGGCCACCTGCACCGCCGCCCAAGACCCACATTGTTGGGCCGACTGGGAGCCTCTCTGCCAGACTCCCTGCGCTGTTACGTCCAGGCCCCTGTGCAACATGCCAGTGTTTTACAGCCCCAGAGAGGCGTCTGCTGGACAGTCTTGCAGAGGAGTCCTCAAGAGAAAGTAAGTGATGGGACCAGCAGTTAGCGCAATGGCTATGTCGCTGGGCTCCCATATAGTCGACCGCAGTTTGCTTCCTGGACCCGGTGGCTTAAAACTCACGCCGGGCACGTGTGCATGCGCATGTGTGCCCAAGATCCCGAGCGGAGAATGGAGAAGGGATTGTGGCGTGGCCAGCCCCCCGGGGGGTGATTTCTTGCTTTCCGTCTCTCTGTATGTCTGGCAAGTGCACGTGCTCTATATCAAAAACCTCTCCAAAAAAAAAAAAGAGAGAGAGAAAGTAAGCGCTGAAGCAGGAGGCAGCTGGGAGCCCCTGGAGGGCAGGGAGGGACCAGCACGGGACTAGGGTGGGGGTGAGTGGGGGAGAGCAGGCTCTGACAGCTCAGACAGGCCTCTGAGAGCCCCCAAGCCAGCTGTGGTTTGCCCACAGGAAGGCGAGCAGGCAGCTGTCTCCAGGTGAGAGAACCACTCCTACCGCCCGACTAAGTTCTCAATCCTGCTGCAGATGGGACCCCGGCAGCTTGAACAACGTGGCCACAGGGCAGCCCACTCCAGTGTGGAGTCAGTCTCTGGATGTGGCCTGGGCCTTGCACTTTCTGCTAGAGTCCCCAAGTGGTGCTCAACAGCAGCTGGGGTGTGCAGCCATGACCTCGCCCCACCACCGAGCATAACAAACAGTGGCCTGTCCTCACCCGAGCCCACCGTCTTGCCTTCGCTGGACCGTGCTCCCGTCTCGGGCCTCTCCCCCACTCCCGGCAGCTTTTACATAAAGCCGCACAGGGACGGGACCCGATTTTGAGCACATGTTTTGTGCCAGGTGGCTTTTATGCCCACTTTTATATAACCCTCACCACAGGCCTGCATGGCTGATGTCCTGACCCCATTCGTGTACGAGAAAACTGAGGGCCAGAGACAAGAAGGCACACCCACAGTCACATGGTGAATGCCTGAACGGGCCTGCCCAGCTCCCATTTCAAAGCCACGGCTGCGGCTGCCTGTGTGAGCGGAGGGCTCTGTAGTTGTCTGCAGCCATCCCGTCAGAGAAGAGCTCCGAGTCAGAAGCCCCAGGCACCAGCTCATCCCCAACTTGCCTTGGTTTTCTGGCTGTCTTTGTCTAGGTCCACAGAGTTGTCATCCAGGGAGTTGAGGCTGTGGGAGAAGAGATGGACTTCAGGCTGTTGGCAAACCAGTTTCCTTTGCCTGTGGCCAAGACTCACAGCCACCATTGCCTCCACCACAACCACCATCACCACCACCTTTCACACCATTACTGCCATCACCAACTCACCACCCTCAGCACCACCAGCACCAACATCCCCTTCAGCATCAACATCACCACCAACTCACCACCCTCAGCACCACCAGCACCAACATCCCCTTCAGCATCAACATCACCACCAACTCACCACCCTCAGCACCACCAGCACCAACATCCCCTTCAGCATCAACATCACCACCAACTCACCACCCTCAGCACCACCAGCACCAACATCCCCTTCAGCATCAACATCACCACCAACTCACCACCCTCAGCACCACCAGCACCAACATCCCCTTCAGCATCAACATCACCACCAACTCACCACCCTCAGCACCACCAGCACCAACATCCCCTTCAGCATCAACACCACCACCACCTCACCACCATCACCAACACCCCCTTCAGCATCAACACCACCACCAACTCACCACCATCACCAACATCCCCTTCAGCATCAACACCACTACCAACTCACCACCATCACCAACACCCCCTTCAGCATCAACACCACCACCAACTCACCACCATCACCAACACCCCCTTCAGCATCAACACCATCACCAACTCACCACCATCACCAACCCCTTCAGCATCAACACCATCACCAACTCACCACCATCACCAACATCCCCTTCAGCATCAACACCATCACCAACTCACCACCATCACCAACACCCCCTTCAGCATCAACACCATCACCAAGTCACCACCATCACCTACAGCCCCTTCAGCATCACCAACACCACCATCACCAACTCACCACCCTCAGCACCACCATCACCACCATCACCAACATCGCCTTCAGCACCACCATCACCACCAACAACTAGCCTGGCTGTTGGGACCACTACTCACCTGACGTAGTCCAAGTCACTGGAGGTGGAGAGGTACTCGAAGCCCAGGTCATTGGTGGGCAGATTCAACATGGGGTTGGCCCTAGAGACAAGGCTTAGTCAAGTGGCCGTGGCCCTCAGCGACCCTGCAGGCTCCTTACCCCTTTGCAACCCCAGCTCACCGCTCAGTGTTGTACACATTAGTCCCAGGGATGGCAGGGGCTGTGGACAACACCCCTGCTGCTGTCTTCCTGGCCTCCTTGGCAGCCTTCATAGCCCGGAGCTTCCGGCGGTAGCTGCGGGGAGCCAGTAGGGGGTCACACTTTAACTGCACACCCACTGTGTGCCCAGTGGCAGCCCTGACAGTGTGCCTTCACACGGTCCTGGCAGGTGAGTGTGAGCTCCCTTCTATAAAGGGTGGAGAGAAAGGAAGGGAGAGAAAGCATCTCCCCAAGACCATACAGCCGGCCAGTGGCCCGGCCTGGGATGGAGCCCAGGTGTGGGTGCAGCTCCCCGTGTGGGAGGGGACAGCAGCGGCCTTTAGTGACTGCATTGTAAGTGCCAGATGTCTTCCTGGGAGCAAGGCCTTGCCTCCTTGAGAGCACTGGGGAGTCTAGTGCCCCGCCCACCCTGCAGGGGGGAAACAGAGGCTCAGGCCAGGGCATCCTTCACTCAGCTCTCACAAAGGGTCCCCGGGGACCGAACGCACGTGTGCCTGATGCGTTAGCCAGGCTCTCTCTACCCTGGACGTTGTGGGGGACTGGGGCTAGAAACAGGAGCGAGGGAGCAGCACCTCTTCCGCACACAGACGAGGGTCACAGTCATGATCAGGAGGACCAGCAGCAAGGCCACCCCCAGTCCCACGATGGTACTGATGAGCACATTCGGCAGGCTTGACTCCTGGCTCTCCTGGGAGCCCTGGAGAAGAAGACGTGTGAGGGGCGCTAGGGACCCCTGGCCTCCCACCCCTCCCCTCTGCCCCGCCCACACTCACCAGCACCACCAGCCCCAGCTGCAGTAGCTGTGTCAGAGAGCCCTGGTCGCTCCGAATCATCCTGGTCACAGAACTTAGCTCAGGCCCAGGACCCTGCCCAGCCCAGGACCCTGCCCACCCCGAGGGAGCCCAGCCCCACTCACCTGCTCAGCTCGTTAAGCGTCAGAGCTGACCCGTTGGCGAAGACAAAGTAGGCGTCCAGGTAGGAGTGGGCTCGGGCCCTGGAACCAGCAGGGTGGAGGGTCGTGGCTGCATCGAGTGTGTCTATGGGACACCCAGCCAGCCCTCCTGCTCCCGCTCCGCCTCCCCACCCCCGGGCTGCAGGCACTCACCGAGCCGTGGACTCTAAGTCCTGAATGTCCACGATGTACACGGTGGTCCTGGTTGCCTGGGCGAGAGCCCTGCAAAGGGGCGAGTGTCACAGGGGCCTGAGATAGGGGCCTTAGCCCTGGCCAGTGGCCAGAGCCGGCTAGGCACATTCAGTGTGAGTGAGAAAGGAAGACCTTCTCTGGACAGCTCTGTGGGCTGAGAGCAGCTCTGCGGGTGGCATGGTGGTTAAGGGCGCTGGACTCCCACATGGCCAACCACAGTGTGAGTCCCAGACCTAGCGGCTTGCTTTCTCAATTTTCCTCTCTCTCTTTATAAATAAATAAATAAATAAATAAAAATAGATAGATAGATATCTAAGTTAAATAAAATAATTCTAAAAAAATAAATAAAAGTCCTTCCTCTGAGGCCGGGTTACAGCTGGCGCAGGGCCTTCACAGTGCACACGCAGTCCTGCCTAGGCCCGAGGGCATGCAGAAAGGCCGCGCAGGCTCAGGGTTAAAAACAGGGATAAGTGTTAGGGTCAGGGACTGGGTTGGAAGACACCCCACCCAGCTCTTCTTGGGACTAGTTTCTGAGACCTGCCCTTCCCGCAGCCCCCCCCCGGGTACCCCACACCTACTCCTTGATCCCCTCCATGTTGCGGCCCACATCCTCCTTGGGCGTGGAGAACTGCAGCCGAACGCGGTAACTCTGGTCCACGGTAAAGAGCTGCAGGTGGCAGACAGGAGGTGCTAGGGACCCTGGGGGCTGACGCTAGGGCCCGGGGCTGGAGCAGGGGACTGGCACTCACATTTACGATGACTGTGGCTTTCCGGGCAGGGCCCACAGAGGGTCTGTCCTGGGCCTGGACAGTCACTTGGTAAGTGCCTTGGAGAGTAGAATCGAGGCTGGTCACCAGCCTGCGAGGGTGGGAGGGCACAGCTCAGTCTCGGAGTCCTCCGGAACCCCTGTGCACTCCTGGGGGGCTGTGCAGACAGGGCCTCCTCTGGTTCCCCTCCTGGCTCCACCAGGACACCGTGCTTACTCGATGTTGCCAGTGAACACGTTGGTCGCCACAGGGGTGGAGATCCGGAAGTAGCCCTGGAATGGGGTGATGGCCCCGTCCTTGGAGACAAAATCCACGTGCAGGATGGAGAACACGATGGCCCCGTTGTCCCCTGAGTCATCGTCTCTGGCCTGGGAGCAAGAGGGACCGTATCTGAGGCCAGGCCAGGTTGGGCACTCTCGGCCCCCAGCAGGGACCAGAGGCGGAGGTGGCCAGGGCAGCATGTCCCCACTGTCTCCCAGCCTTCCTCAGGCTACCACCAAACACACAAAACCCATGTGCCTGCCGTGCGTGTCAGGCCTGCACGTCCCTGTCCTGGTGCGCCGTGAAGTCAACAAATCACATCTCGTAGTCCTCCCATGTGAAGGCCTGCCCCACTCGCCCCACCCTCAACTGCCATTTACACGCTCATACATGCTCACACGCGCTTACACTCACACACGTGCTCACACGCGCCACATGCTCACATGCGCTTACACTCACACACGTGCTCACACACGCTTACACTCACACACGTGCTCACACGCGCTTACACTCACACACATGCTCACATGCGCTTACACTCACATATGCTCACACGCTCACACACATGGTCACACACATGGTCACATGCTCACACTCACACACATGCTCACGCTCGCTCACACGCATGAGCACAGGAATGTTCAAATTTCCCATTACCTTCCAGGTGCCCAAACCTTCCCTTAGACCCCTGATTTCAGCGTGTACCCACATGAGTTCCAATTCCCAGGGGACCATGAAGGGATGGGGAGAGGTATTTGTTCTCCTGACTTATAGAGCAAATAAAACCAGTGACTGCCCAGGATGAAAAACATAGCTGGTGTCCACATTTCAACAAGAATTCAGTTTAAAGAAAAGTGTTCTGGGCCAGCAGGTGGTGTTGTGGTTGAGGCACTGGACTCCCACATGGCTGATCATGGTTCGAGTCCCGGACCTGGCGGCTTGGTTTCTCACTTTCTTTCTTTCTGTCTCTCTCTGGTGAGCACACGTGTCCTACAATAAAATGAACTAATAATAATAACAAAGGGAATTGTTGGGCTAGCCCATGGCCAGCTGGTTAAAGCAGCCGGTGCCCACAGAGCCAACTGTAGTTGGGGTCTTAGACTTGGCAGCTTGGGAAACACGCCGGGCATGTGTGCACACGTGTGCAAATCCCAGAAAGAGGGAGAGATGGAGAAGGGCTTGCAGCGTGCCATCCCCCACAGGGCAGTGCCCTCTCTCTTTCTCCCTCTCTCTCCTGAGTTCTTGTGCCCTCTGGCAAGTTAAAAAAACAGAGAAAGAAAATTCTTCAAAGCCATGGTTAAGCTCATGCCACTGGCAAGCCGTTGGCTAAACACTGGGAAGCTGTTTAAGCCCTGAAAGAACCTAGGAGAAAATCGCTGTCCCTGGTTTTTTTTTGGGGGGGGGCAGGAATTGGAGAGGTTTCTGCTATAGGTCACGTGCGCTCGCCAGAAAGACAGAGAGTGAGAGAGAGACAGAAAGCGAGAAATCACCCCCCGGGGGGATGACCACGCAGCAATCCCTTCTCCTCCATTCTCCTCTTGGGATCCTGGGCACATGAACACACACCCGGTGTGAGTTTAAGCCACTGCGCCTGGGACTCGAACCACAGTCGACTACATGGGAGTCCAGCGACATAGCCATCATGACAACTGGTCCCCACTGTCCCTGTTTTATGAGAGAGAATTGAAGCTCTGACAGGTCCCTCTGAGGACACACATGCTCACACACATGCTGAGTGTGGAGGGGAGCCCACCTCTCCGCAGCCATGTCCTTGTCACAGAACCAGGGAGCAGCCAGGGCCACCTGCTAGAAACTGCCAGTTTCTCCTCGAGGAGGGAAACTGAGCCCCCGAGAGGCATGGCAACAAGAGGTGTGGCCAGGCCTGCCCAGGCTGTGGGGGTGGCCTACCTGCACCCCCCTGCACCCCCGGCAGAGCCTTGAACAGACATGCCCACACCCAACGGCGTAAAACGTGGAAAGCGTTTTTATCATTTCGCTCTGGAATTCCTTAACTACACAGAACTGGTCTCATTTACAGTTGGCTATGGCTTTCTCTGGGTTACTTGAGAATTCTGGTACAGTGAGGAAACCTAGCAGGCATGGGTACTTCCAGTCCCGACGCCCTACAAGTGCTGATCTTAACAACGGCCAAGTGCAAGCTTATCAACTGGGCCAGTGTTCGCCTCCGTGCTGGGATTTCTTTCCACACGCTGGAGTGCATATGTTCCCTTTCTGGTGTTCAAACGTTCAGGGGCGGCAGGAGGCCTGAAGGTCTTAGCCCTGTGTCGCCTGGGACTAAGGGGACCGAGGACTCACCTGGACAGAAGCCACCTGCTGGTTGGGCAGCACGAGCTCCGGGATGATCACTGCGAATGGGAGCAGGAGGTCAGCAGGTGGAGCAGTGCCCACCGGGCCAGCTGTTGACCCCAAACTGCCCTCCCTCCCCTCCCGTCACCCCTGCCATGCAGCAGCAAGCCCCTGGCCCAGATTCAGGGCCCAGAGGCGGAGGCCAGGCCAGAGCCAGAGAACAGCTGGACAGAGCTGGACTAAACACCTAGGTGTCGGGCCAGACTCACTGCCTAGTGGTCTAGGGGCCAGCTCCACACGGCCAACTCTGGCTTGGGTCCTGGCCCCCGTGGTCTGAAAAACATGCTGGGCACATGTACATGTGTTCCCCAAACCCTAACAGAATGGAATAGAAGAGAAGAGACTGAAGTATGAACACACCCCACTGGGGAGTGCCTTCCCCTCTCTCTGTCTCTCACTGGCAAACACACACCCTCCAGCAATTAAAAAACAAACAAACAAAACCCCTCAAGTGACCCATCCATTGTAACCCTAGAGAGAAGGAGAGTAGGAGGTCTTCCTCCCTTATAAGGGCCCCCTTGCCTGCAGAGGGTCTCTGGGAGTGCCCAAGGGTGGTCCCCATGGGGCAAGAAGTCAGGGTCGCCACTTACCGAAAGTCTTATCCTCAGGCAGAAAGTAGGGCGTGTTGTCATTCACATCCTCGATGGTAATGGGAAGGCTTCCTGGGGGCAAGGGACCTGGCTCTGGGCTCTGACGAAGGCCTGGGCCCCCCACACCCCCCACAGCCCTGTCCAGCCCCTTCCCTGATCCTGACCCAGATACCCGCTCAACCGTCTCTGGCCTGCGTGGTGGGAGGGTATGGTCCCCAGACCTCAGAGAGGGCAAGAGCTTGATGAAGTCACCCAGCAGGAGCGACGGGCCAGGACCGGGCCAGCCTACAGCTGTCCCCCAACCACGACACTCCCTGTGTATGCGGATGGTTTAAACGCCCACTCTGTGGGGCCAGAGTAGCAGTTATGTCGCTGGACTCCCACGTTGCCAACCCTGCTCAAGCCCTAGACCAAGTGGCTTGAAACAGGGCAGGCACATGTGCATCGTGTGTGTCCAGGATCCCCGGAGGAGAATGGAGGAGAAGGGACTGTGGTGTGGCCATCCCCCAGGGGTGAGGACTCAGACAGGGAAACTGAACTCCACATGGGGGTGGAATTTCCCAGTGGCACAGCTGGGAAGGGTGGAGTCAAGATTCGAACTCAGACCTCATGAGTCGTAGCCCAGGGCTCTTTCCCGCGGTCCCTAAGCTGCAGCCTGCCACGCCCTACAGGCTAGGCACCTCACCGTTGTTGCTGTAGGCCTGGAAGCGGGGGTCTGTGGTGAGGTCGTAGGCCCGCACCACCAGTGTCACCAGGTCACAGGTCTCGTAGTCGATGGCCTCGCTCTGATTGATGTACACGGAGCCGTTGGCAGCCACGGAGAACCAGCCGTGGCACAGGCTGCCCACGTTGGCCCCAGCCTTGGAGCAGAGAACGTTGACGAGCTCGATCTCCAGCTGGGCCTCGGTGTCCACGTCCCGGGCCACCACCTCGGCCACCTGGCCGTGCTGCGAGCCGTTCTCAGCCACGTGGACGCCTTGCAGCGAGGCTGAGTCCAGGGTCGGTGGCTCATCGTTCACGTCCTCCACAGCCACGTTCACGGCGACGCTGGTCTCCCCGGCCTGGGGGTCCGGGTTCTCGGCGCTCACTGTCAGGCTGAAGGAGTTCTGTGTCTCGTAGTCCAGGCTCACGTCTGAGGGCAGCCGGAGGAGGCCCGCAGCCCAGCCGGAGCCCAGCACTGAGCCTCGGAGCAGGAACGTGTTGGCCCCGGCGCCTGCCAGGCTGAAGCTGATGCGGTTGTTGGCTTCCGTCTGGTCCGCATCCCAGGCCGCCACCACACCCACCAGTATTCCTATAGGCAGGGGCAGAGCTTGGAGGACCCCCAACCCGGCCAGAGAAGCCTCCTCTGCCCTCACCTCTCGGACACTCCATGCCTGCCCTGGGAAGGGCCAGAAGACTTCGGGCCCCAACTGCAGTGCCCAGCCTCGCCCAGGGAGGACTCACCTGGGTCCCTCTCCTTTACCATGAAGAAATAGCTGGACTGGTTGAACACGGGCATGTTATCGTTGATGTCCTGTGGGCAAAGGCAGGTCTGAGGCCAGGCCCCCGAACCCGAGGGCTCACTGCCCCTCAGGGCCAATCTGAGAAGCCCATCATCAGCCTGCCTCGGAGCACGGACTCTCCCGTCTCCCCGACTGGCTGGCCACTTCCCACACAGGGACGCAGCCTTCGAGGAGGGACTGTCCAGCCACCCCTAGGCATGGAGGCACATGGTCAGTCCTCTGCAGGACGTACAGAGGTCATGGCCAGAAGCGCTCCCCCTTCCTGTGCCCCTGGCCACAGCTCAGGACTGACCCTGCTTTTTGCAAGGAGCATTTTGCGTCCCCGTCCACCTGGCCCAGCTCCACTCCCCACCTCTCCGGTCTGCGTGAGCACCCAAAGGCCCCTGGCCCAAGCTGCCCTGCTTCCTCCTGCCCCTCCTGCCCTCAGCTGACCCTGTGGCTCTAGCTCTCCACTCAGGCAGACCTGCGCTCTGGCCCTCAGATGGACACCTGCTGCTTTCTGCCCTGGTCTTCCCTCTCCAGCCACGGCCCCCAGGTTCTCACAGCTGGCATGGCCGCCTGGAGACTGCTCCACCCCACGGCTGCCGCCGGTGCTGGGGGAGCCCCAGAGAGCCCGGCTTCCCCTTCCGCTCACATGCGGCGACATTGCAGGTCTTCAGCTTCAGGCTTTTCAGTGACCACAGCATGGGCAGCTTTGAACTCAGACCCCTCCTCCTGAACGGGGCAGCGAGGCCCTGGCACCCCTTTGCAAAAACCCCCCTATGGGCTGCAGTGTGTGTCCACTACGGCTTTGAGGTTGTCCTGAGTCACAGGGGTGGCCAAGGGCACAGCTCCGAGTCAACATCGCTCCGCCTCTGCCTCAGGTGGGCCTCGACCTCTCTGGGCCTCGGTGGGGCAGTGGTCCCCACCCACAGGCAGCAATGAGGGTGGCTCGCTCGGCAGGTGCAAGTCTGCGCCCTCCTGGAGTGGCCCCCGCACCTCAGGACAGCCAGCCCTGGCCTCGCCAGGTCTCTGCCCACCCACAGGCTCTCGGAGCCTCAGGGAAAGCGAGCAGGACTCGGGGCTCCATGGGTGGCACTGCAGGGTGCTCAGCACAGCCCAGGGTGCCCTCGGTCACAGCACTCCTGGGGAAGGGACCTGCAGGCTCGTGGCAGCTCTAGAACCAGACAGGGCGTAAAGGCCTGCTCTGCAGCCCCAGGCTACAGACCGTCTGCCTCAGTTTCCTGATCGACAAAACTGCAGTAACGGTTTTCACCCATTCTCTCTCTCTCTCTCTCTCTCTCTCTATTTATTTTTGCAGAGGATTTGCAATAGGGCGCGTGTGCTCGTCAGACAGACAGAGAGAGACAGAGAGACAGAAAGCAAGAAATCACCCCCCCAGGGGGGATGGCCATGCTGCAATCCCTTCTCCTCCATTCTCCTCTCAGGATCTTGGGCACACATGCACACGTGTCCAGCGTGAGTTTAAGCCACGGGGTCCGGGACGCGAACCACAGTCGACTACATGGGAGTCCAGCAATGTAGCCACTATGCTAACTGCTGGTTCCTCTCTCTCTCTTTTAAAATTTGCCACAGAGCACGTATCTCCCCGGTGAAAGAGGGAACATGAGAGAGAACTCCCGAGGGGGGAGGACTGGCCATATGTCTCCTGCCCAGGGGTGGCTGGACAGTCCCCCTCCCCTCCATTTTCCCCTTGGGGTCCTGGGCACGCACACCTACACGCCCAGCATGTTTTCCAAGCTCCTGGGTCCAGAATTCAATTTGTGATGCTGGCCACGTGGGGTCCAGCCTCCTGAACGGCCCCGCCAAGGCCGCCCCACCGCGGCCGCCCCACCGCTCTGCCGTGCGTACCCAGGAGGGAGGCGGGGCTGGCTTCAGCTTTGTGAGGAGTCAGAGCTCTATGCGCGTCGTCCTGTCCTCGGGCCAGCTGCCCTCCCAAGCACTTTCCGCCCACTAACTTCATCTTCATGCTCTTCAGGGGAGCTCGAGGGCACAGGAAGGTCGGGCGATGGCCTGGCGCCTCCCCGTTAGTGCGAGGATCCAAGCAGGGGCCTGACGGCTGCTCCTGCCCATGTGTCACGGAGGGAGGAAAGTGACTGGACGTGGGCCCTCCCCCGTGGCCTGGCCCCCGGCCCCCTTACCTCCACAGTGATGGTGACGTTGACCTCGGTGCTGAGCTGAGGCACACCGCAGTCTGCCACCAGCACGGTCAGCACGATTCGGCCCCCCAGGGCAGGATCGATGGCCTCTCGGTCCAGGGGCCCCAGGTTTCTGAGAAGCCCGGTGTCGGGGTCCACCGAGAAGTTGTGGCTGTAGGGACCAGGCAGCAGGCTGAAGACCAGTCGGCTGTTGTTGGTGCCTGGCTCGTCATTGTCATGGGCCTGCACAGTACACAGGGGTGTGCGTCAGCCCACGGCCTCCCTGTCCCAGCCCTGCCTGGAGCCAGTGGGGCCGGGAGGTGGGCTCCCCTCCTGGAGGTTCAGACCAACAGCTGGCCAGAGCTGTCACTGAGCACCGACATCATTCAGGACAGAGCTGCTGTCACTGCCAGCATGCCCAGCTCTGTTGCAGCCCCCAGCCAAGACGGCTCCCTTGGGAAGCCGAAGCTCCAGTGGGGAGCAGACGTGGGCAGTCTGATACTGATGTGCGAATGTCCGAAAGTAACTAAGAAAAGCAGGTCCCACCGCGGCTGTGCCAACACTGGGCCTGCGCAGGGCGGGACCCACAGAAGGCCCAGGCCCCAGGGTTCGGATCCCAGCAGCCTGCCCAGGCAGGCGTAGTACACGTGTCCGTAGTCCTAGAGAACCGCGAGGCTGGGCCACCATGTCTAGTTGCTCTCCACCCCCGTCTGCAGCCCCTCATTACAGCAAACCCACACTGGCTCCACGGCCCAGCAGCAATGCACAACTCCAGAGAAGCTCAATCCCAGGCAGCCAGGGCTCGGATCCCCACCCAGGCCCGTTGTGAGTGCCCACAACCCTCAGGCCGGCTGGCGGTGACCCTCTGGGGGTGCCTCCCCTTCTCGTTCTCTCTATTGTGACATGCACATGCTCTCTCATGAATGAAGAAAACTAAAACACGGTTTCCAACACGCAAAACGAGGTCTGACTTTCCCATGATGACTTCTTCAGCGCTGTGTCCTGTAACTGACTGCATCGTCCCCCGCATGTGTGCGTGAGTGTGTGTGCATGTGCGTGCGTGCGTGTATGTGTGTGTGTGTGTGCGTACCCATCCTGTCAGGGCCCTGAAGGTGTGCTTGGCTTGCTTTTGGGTAAACCGCACAGGGAATAATGGGCTCTTCCATGCCACCAGGCCTTTGCATGTCTGTGTCCTGTCCTGACAGCAGGCCAGGCTGGTGCCTCCCTGGGGGCCCATAACCCCCTGTTACCTTCAACATGGTTGAGCGCTGCTCAAGGCCTTACGCCCCGCCCCTCCTGCGAGTCACCTGTTATTCCCAGGGACCCCTGAGGAGGCGCTGTGACCCTCCTCACTTTCCAAAGCGAAAAAGAGGCCCAAAAGGCCGACTGACTTTCTCAGGGCCACGCATAGCCCAGGCTCTGCCCAGAGCCAGCACGACCGCAGAGGCCCCGCCCTGACTCCGCCCAGAGCCAGCAAGACCGCAGAGGCCCCGCCCTGACTCCGCCCAGAGCCAGCAAGACCGCAGAGGCCCCGCCCTGACTCCGCCCAGAGCCAGCAAGACCGCAGAGGCCCCGCCCTGACTCCGCCCAGAGCCAGCAAGACCGCAGAGGCCCCGCCCTGACTCCGCCCAGAGCCGGCACGACCGCAGAGGCCCCGCCCTGACTCCGCCCAGAGCCAGCAAGACCGCAGAGGCCCCGCCCTGACTCCGCCCAGAGCCGGCACGACCGCAGAGGCCCCGCCCTGACTCCGCCCAGAGCCAGCAAGCCCGCCGCACCAGGTCAGGCGCACACCTGGATGGTCACGGAGACGTCGCCTCCGTTCTCTTGGACAAAGATGCGGTAGGAGCCGCTGACCACGGGCGCGTTGTCGTTCACGTCCAGCAGGTGGATCTGCAGCGTGGTGGAGTTGGACAGGCCCCCGCCGTCGGTGGCCTGCAGGGTCAGGTTGTACACGGCCTGCCTCTCCCGGTCCAGCAGATCACCGTTTCTCACCGTCACTGTCCCCGAGCCTGGATCCACCTCAAACAAGTCATCCCTGCTCAGGGGTGGGGGGCAGAGCTAGTGAACGGAAATACCGGCCCCCAATCACACGTGATTCCAGGTAAACGGCAATGCACTCAGACATCCCGTGCAATGTTTGCCACCTACTCATTTCAAAAATAATTGTTCCTTGTTTTTGTGAAACTGGGATACAGCAGGATGGCCTATATGTCTCTGGCTCCCCGCCCTGCAGTGAGCAGAGAAGCAGCCTGGCCCTGCCCCGCCTGCCCTCTGCCCACCCGAGACATACCCGTTTCCCGGGAGCAGGCTGTAGGTGATACGGCCCCACTCCCCCGTGTCCAGGTCTGTGGCCTGTGAGGCAGAGAGATGGCGGACACTGTTGGAGGCAGCAGCCCCTGCTGCCGACCACGTGGTCTGTGGAGACCTGGCTGTCGCACTTCCTGACACAAAGGAATCACCCCGACACACTCAGGATGACAGACACGCCGAGCGCTCACACGGGGACACACGCATGCCAGGACACAGTGACATCAGAGGTGCAGAAACGGCAGGGCCACCGCGGCCGGGCCCACTTCTCCGTACCTCCCTGCCAGCTTGGCCCAGCTGCGTCCCCGTCACTCACATGGATGCTGCTGGTGACCAAAGAGCCGGTCGCGCTGTCCTCCGACACGCTGAGGACGTACAAGCGCTGGGGAAACGCGGGGCTGTGGTCGTTGATGTCTCGGAGGTGGATGGTCACTGCGGCGACGGAGGCCTTCTGGCTGACTGAGTCAGTGGCCACCACCTGAGGACAGGAAGGAGCAGCACTGAGACGCGAGCGACCCGCGGCCTTGGCTCCCGGCCAGCGCGCCGCTCACCTCCACCAGCATCAGCTGCCACCTCTCGTAGTCCACCAGGTCCGGGGCGCGCACCAACACCTGCACGGAGGCCGAGCCCGCCACCCGCTCGGGGGAGACGCTGAAGGCTGCCGCGTCGGGCCCCCCCAGGGACAGCAGAAAGGTGCCGTTGCTGCCCTGCAGAGGGGCGCGGATGAGGGACACTGTCCCCGCAAGGCACCCACTTGCTCCGTCCTCCCTAACCCTGCCCCAGGGAGCCCCGCCTGACGAGCCCCTACAAAGGAGGTTCTCAGAAGAATGAGGCAGGAGCCCGGAGGCTGTCTGTGCTGGGAGTGTGGGTGCCTCAGAGGAGGACTTCCCTGGGCACTGCGGGTGCTGGGGCAGGGCTGGAGAGATGGAGCCTGGACACATCCCCCACTGACATCGAGTTTTCTACCCACGTCCCCCCCGCAGCCCCCGCCACCACGTCCACCCTGCAGCCACCGCCACCACGTCTACCCCGCAGCCACCCGCCACCCACGTCCGCCCCGCAGCCACCGCCACCACGTCTACCCCGCAGCCACCCGCCACCCACGTCCGCCCCGCAGCCACCGCCACCACGTCTACCCCGCAGCCACCCGCCACCCACGTCCGCCCCGCAGCCACCGCCACCACGTCTACCCCGCAGCCACCCGCCACCCACGTCCGCCCCGCAGCCACCGCCACCACGTCTACCCCGCAGCCACCCGCCACCCACGTCCGCCCCGCAGCCACCGCCACCACGTCTACCCCGCAGCCACCCGCCACCCACGTCCGCCCCGCAGCCACCGCCACCACGTCTACCCCGCAGCCACCCGCCACCCACGTCCGCCCCGCAGCCACCGCCACCACGTCTACCCCGCAGCCACCCGCCACCCACGTCCGCCCCGCAGCCACCGCCACCACGTCTACCCCGCAGCCACCCGCCACCCACGTCCGCCCCGCAGCCACCGCCACCACGTCTACCCCGCAGCCACCCGCCACCCACGTCCGCCCCGCAGCCACCGCCACCACGTCTACCCCGCAGCCACCCGCCACCCACGTCCGCCCCGCAGCCACCGCCACCACGTCTACCCCGCAGCCACCCGCCACCCACGTCCGCCCCGCAGCCACCGCCACCACGTCTACCCCGCAGCCACCCGCCACCCACGTCCGCCCCGCAGCCACCGCCACCACGTCCACACCGCAGCCACCCGCCACCCACGTCCACCCCGCAGCCACCCGCCACCCACAACCCCCGTACCAGCACCAGCACCCCCAGCCCCCAGTGCCCTGCTTCAGCCCACACCCACCACCAGCTCAACACGCCCACACCGTTTCACCGCTCATGCCGCCCACCGCTGTCATCACACTGCCCTGCACCGTCATGGCTGGGTATCGCTCAGAGCCCACCGGTGTTAAGAGTGGCCTCCGACTTCGCCCTCGCTCAGTCTGTACTCAGCACTGCTGGCACCCCCAATGCCCAGCGCCACCCCGAGTCACCAACCCCGAGTCACCGGCGACGTGACGTTCCTTCACATTACCAGCATCCCATGCCAACCTCGGGCGGCCCAGCCTTTCTGTCCAGCCCCACCGAGTATCGCCCTGAACGCAACCCCACTCGTCAGCTCAAAGCCACCCACATTACCCGGTTTCACCAGCTCCCGTTCTCCCCACCACACCACACCGTCCCTCCTGCCGCCTGCTCCCCAGCCCCCTCCCAGCCACCGCCCCCTGCCCCTGTGCGGGCTTGCCTTGTCCGGGTCGTAGGCCGCCATGGTGAGCCCGTCGATGGGGATGCGGGTGGCGGCGTGCTCGTCCACGTATCCGGAGAAGCTGTTCTGGGCCTCTTGCGGGGTGAAGGTGCAGGCTGGGAGGCTGCAGTTGTAGAACTCGGGCTCGTGGTCATTGACGTCCGTCACCCTCAAGGTGACCCATATGCTCACCTTGGCCTCTTGCCCGTAGATGTTGAGGTGTGCCTCCGTGGCCTGAGGACAGAGCAGAGGGCGGAGAACCGGTGCTCGGAGAGAGGGAGAGGGTCTGAGTCGGAGAGCGGGGCTGTGGGCTCACTCACCGTGACCTGCACCTGCACCTCCTCGTCCTCATCCAGCAGCTGCTCGCGGTCCAAGGGCTCGCCGACGCTGATGACGCCGTCTGCGCTGATGTTGAACCACCCAGGCTTTGAGGAATCTGGCAAGGAGACGGGCAGGAAGACCAGCTGCTTCCAGGGGCTCTGCCAGGGCCCCGAGCCAGCCCCCGCCCAGCCTAGGGACAGCCTGGTCCTCACTGGAGATACTATAGGTCACATGGTCATTGATGCCTTTGTCACTGTCCACGGCCTGTACTCTCAGCACCGAGGTTCCCTGGAAGGGAGCTTGGTCAGCACCCCGACCCTCTCCCCCTCCACCCGCACCCCAAGTCCCCTGCACACCCTGGCTGCGTCCTCAGCCACAGAGGCCGAGTAAAAGTCCCTGACAAACTGGGGGTCCAGGTCAGGCTGGTCGACCACCAAGATGGACAGGATGACCGGAGCGGCACACTGCACGGTCTGGATGCCATTGTACTCGCCGCCTGAGTCCTGCAGGGAGACGGGCCTTCCGTGAGCCAGGGCCGCGGCTCCAGGCCCTCGGGTCCCACCCGCGCCCCACTTACACAGGCCTTCACCCCCAGCTGGTAGAAGGCGCTCTTGTTGTTGTAGCTGAGGCTGCCGGTGAGGACGATGGAGCCGTTCTCCAGTATCCGGAAGAGGTGCTCGCTGTCCTCCATGCTCGGCACGACCTACGGCACGGGCAC